TGAAGCAACGTCCTCCACAACTAGACTGAAGAACAAAACGACAGCAACTTGTCTGTTCCCCTTCCCCCAATTCCCCAATAAAAATCTTAAAAAAAAAATTCTGTGAGGTAAACAGATACATTAAACTATTCTAACATGGAGGAATTGAGGAGTACAGACTTGAAAATTCTAACGTTAGTTCATACAAAGCAAAAGGATATTGAAGTGAAAACTGAAACTGAGGGTTTCTGAATTTAGGGAGATACCTTGTGCTGAGATGAAATTACTGAATCTGAGCTTTGTAGGGTCATGTTTGAAGCCTCTTTAGGATTAGAAATTATAAAGCGGAAAATGTGTTACATCTGTCCCCAGTGTCCCTGGGATTTCTGCACCAAATTCCACAACCTCCGACACTTCCTTCACAAACTCCTTACAAGAAGCAAGATAAGAAGTTTAAAAATGGCTTCAGGGAGAATTCCTCAGCAGAGAACACAGATTTGCACAGGCCCACAAGGCAATGGAACAGTAGCCAGCCCATGGCAGCCCCCACAGTCCAGGGGAAGGACATCGGCCTTCACTGCGACATGACCCAGATCACTGAGCAGGTCAGTCCCTAAAGGATGTAGAAGCACAGGACGTGTTGGACAGGACTGTCCGTGAGTGACAGCAACAGAAAAAAACCTGGGATTCTCACATCCTTTCCCCTGAAGCAGCGCTTCCTAAACCACATCTTAAGGTCTGGCTTCCTCAGGGACCTTTGGCCCTCTCACCTGTGCCATCTGCTCCTTCATTCCCACCTACCTGGGAGGATGGATACTGTCTTTTTTTGCTTCACATCCCAGGCCTCCTTCATTCTCTCCAAACAGGTAACCAGGTCTGGCTTAGAGGCTGCAAGTTCTGTTTATTAGTAAAAGGAACATGAGTTTTGATGGAGATTCTCCAATTTCCAATCCAGTATGTGCTCAGGTGAAAAAAAAGAACATTGCAGAAACTTAGAGTATTCTAGAAATGGATTCCCCCAAAACAGTTATCTGACAGCACCTTTACTCTACTAGACAACATGGAACGTTTTCAGATCCTGAGTTCCACTTCAAGGACATCATGAAGTCTTCTTTTCTACACCAGTAAACCCCCAGTTGGTACTCAGAGCCGGGATCTGAAGCTCTACCACACAGAGCACAAGCTCCCAGGAGACACTGTACTGATGAAGGAAACACACCCCTGAAGTGGGGTAGGAGTTCTGGAAGGAAGTTCCCTCACCCAGGGATCGTAGGTTCCTGTAGTTCTCCAACATCACGTCCATGTACAGTTCCCGCTCAGCCGGCTGCAGGCACTCCCACTCCTCCTGAGAGAAATCTATGGCCACATCCCTGAATGTCAACCGTCCCTGAAACAAAAGACACATTTACCACGTGGCCACAGACAAGGTCATAACATGACTCAGTATAAAAACAGTTAAGAGAACTGGTTTTGACCTAGGAGAGTGTCCGGAATAGAACACGAAGTCCACTGACAGTAATATTCTCCAATGTGTTTTCTAACTCTGAGAAAGGAGGATGGCGTATGATCCACAAACCACTGTAGAGAGACATACATCTTTTTTTCTACAAGATAGATTTAAATTCAGGCATCAACACAGGCATATGGTTTTGTGCATTATATTTGTATCATACAATATATATTATGTACATTTCTCAGCAGGAAATGTCATGGTGAGTTAAAAATGCAAAGTATTTCTCAAATTTTCATGTGGACAACAAGTAACTGGACTGTTATAAAACTGCAGATTCTGACTGAAGAGTTCTGGGGTGGGGGCTGAGTTTCCACATTTAATAAAATCACTTTTAACTAGTGACACCAATGTCTCTGGTCCGTGTGTCACACTTCAATAGCACAGAGGAAGGAAACGGAAAAATTCACACATGACTTTGAACTGACAGAGTTTTATAGAATTTACACTTCTCATAGAAGCATAGCAACACAAACCTTTTTGAAAATGACTGTATAATAGAGAACGTTCTAACTTTTTTTACATATTAATTCATAATGCACATAATCTCATAATGCATCTAACTTATAAACTGAGAACAATATCATACGTCCTCTTGTATGAGAACATTTTCTGATGCATCCACTAAATGGCAGAGCTTGGGTTTATTCCAACCTTTCTCTAGAATTTTTCAAAAAAGACAGAAACCAATATGCATAGACAAACACTCATGAACCTACATGGCCATTTCTGTAACTGAGAAAAAAATGAAACAACGTAAGCGAGTGAGAAGAAAGACAAGATCAAATAGTGTTAAGATTTTATGGACACAGACACAGAAATATGGGCACTGTGTGCACATTAAAAATGACAAAGAAGGGAATTTTCACGTCACTGAAATAACAATTATTTTCAATTCTGTAAATTATTTTCAATTCTGTCTTTGTGGATGATCCTCTGCGGATTTTATAAACACAACAGGGAGAGGAACACATAATAACAAAAGTTAGAGTTGGTGTTTCTTTGATAAAATTTGCGCGTCATTTGTCCTGAGCTATACATTACAGATTTACCACACTTCAACACCTTAATATGATTCGTGTAAACTTTCATGAAAACACAAAAACTAGTGAAGCAGAGAATGTCTGTGACATGAGTGTGGAATATAATGAAAATTTACAGGAATGAGGCCTCACTCATTAAAGCATCCACTCCAAAAGCCAATATCTCTAGTAAAGAAAGCTGAAGGCCTTCATTTTCCAAAGTAGAGAAACTAAGAAAAAAGGGAGTTTCCAAATGAAATGTGTTGGTTTTGCACATTGTTCTATAAAGCCCTCCAGACCCTTATTAATGATAAAGAAATAATGTTAACGTTATAGTGAAGACAAGACCTCAACCAAGTGAAAATCAGGTGGAAGGAACAAATGGGTGTCGGCTGGCCAAGGCACACGGAAGACACATCATCACTGCTGTCATGTTACCGGAAAAAATGAACAAATAAGGAAATCATAATCTGAATCTGATCATAAAAATATTAATTTTATGCAAATTTGAATGCACATATAGCTCCTGTGTTCAGTAATGCTAACAGTGGATTTAAACAGCAAGTCAATCTTACCAACCTACAGAGCAAGTTAATTCCAATAATTTTTTTTTAGAACATTCTGGGGTATTCTGAACAGAGGCATCTTGGATAATCATGCACGTTCTTACCCACGGTCTACAGCCCTGACGCTGCAGTCACAGGACACACACCTACACCTCCCTTCTTTAGGACACCAGGCATCTGACCCCACCCAATAGGGACCTTGGACACAACCCCCTTTCCAGGTGGATTTTATCAGTAGTTGAGGGTCAGTAATCACAGTAAGAATCCTCATGTCCTGAGGGAGTGGATGGACAGAATGCAGAGAAGGCTCTGGAAGAAAGGCAGAGTGTTCTGCACAGCTGACCCTGACTCTCATGAGAAGAAAAGGAAAAGGAAGTAGTTGGAAAGAAACTCGCTAGGCAGGAATGTCAGACATAGAGAATTAAGGGTGGCAAGTTCTAAACCCACAGATTTTAGGAGGAAAAGGGGACACAGCCTGTGACCCAGGACGGAATGCTTACCTGAGAAGCAGCCATTTCGTCCTCGTCCTCCTCCTGCTCTGGGTTGTTTCCTCAGGTGAAGTTCTGGGGAGAAATCACATCTGCATCTTGAGAATGTGCCCACAAGGGCGTCAGCTCAGGCCCTTCATTTACTTCCTCCAAACTGACAGCCAGAAGGACCTTGAAATGCTGAGAAGGTCGCCCTTTCCTGTCCTTTGTCACAGGACACAGTCAGAGACAAGAAGCTCCTAAGTGAAGACAGAACGGTCAGTTTTCTCTTTCCTGATTCACATGCTCTCCCCTTCCACAGATGTCCACAAATTCCTACAGTAATGAGAACGTAGGATGCTCTCCTACCCCCCACAAACACAACAGAGCACCCTGTTACCTCTCTCCTTGAGCAAAGGTTTCTCTCAACAGTCAGAACTGTGTCTAGGAGCCCCCAGCTAACCCCTGGCCTCACCTGAGAGTCACCTGAACACCTCATTAAAACAACAATGATGCTCCACCCAGATCAATTATCCAACTTCCAGGGGGAGAGCACAGGTGACATCACTCCTTCAAATTCCCTTGTAACTCAGGAGGAACCCTGATGGGAACCATTTAGCTTCAATGAGCATGCAGGTCTCTGGGGGATCAGGGCCCACTCTAAGGAGTTATGGTTCTGCAGGTCTGCAGGGGGCCCAGGAAATGGCATCTTTAAGTCTCCTGGGGGTGATGACTTGCTCACCAGACCTGTTACCTGTCACACTGGGCTACAGACCTCACTCCATCTCAGACTCTGCACTCTTGAGAGCTCTGGGGAGTGTGGGGGTTTGGTGTGGGAACTTCTAGAAGGTCTGGCTCTCCGGGTGTATTTCCTTCTTGTTTTCCAGGAAATCACAGAGAACTAGTTAAAAACCATAAAATAATGAACACACATTTTGGTGCTGAAAACTTGTTACAAGGGTTAGCTATGGAAATACAGTTCACATTACTTCACAATGAATAGACTGGCTCCGTGGGAACTGAGTTTCAGGTCTGCCCGGTCCGTCCTTTCACATTTTCAGAGAATGAACAAGTGGGACTTGAGGGGACAGCTACTTGGTAGCTCCCAGCTCACTGATTTCACAAATCACGTAAAGGGAAGACAAAAGCTGCTGAATATCAGACTTACTCACCAAACTAGGTTCTTGCCACAGGCATCCTTACCAAATGCACACTTAAGTGGCCTGGTATTATTAATTAGTACCAATGGACTTTCCAACATAATAAAGAGTAGAAAGAATGCAGGGCTTCTCGTTTAAACTAGACACAATATCATAAGAAGAAAATAGATTCAAAATGTTCTTTACTATAATTACTTCTAGGGTCAAAATTTTTAAAAACTTGAGACTACCGCATATTTAGTAAAGAATAACAGCTGGTAATGAGGTCACCAAAACTTATTTCAGAAGTTAATGACTATACAAATAAGCAGAAATTCAGCAGAGTAAGATTTATCTTGATTTGCTTTTTTAAAAAAAACAATGAATCAAATGTAAGAGAGGTAGATAGGAAAAAGTAAATTCCTTAAAAAAGACACAATGGTTTTAATATTCCTTGAAAAAGCATCGTGTGGTGTCAGACTCAGTAATTTCTCATCCCAGGTCACATCCCTTATGCCATCCCAGAAAAAAAGAAGGGACCCAGACTGACACAGGTCTCTGTCCTCTGGCTGCATGAGGGTTGCACATGGAAGCCATTGGGTGATGAAATCATTAAGCACACAAGCACTAGAAACTGGAGTTTTGTAATTCTCATCTGTGTGACTGAAAATGCAGCATCTGATAAATTAAATCTATTATAAAGCCACAATCAATATATCACTATTTGATCACCCACATCCCACCAGCTCACAGAGCATCCAGGTGGGGGCACCCCTTCTTCCTCAGCTACCATGTACTCCTGTGTCCCTCTCCACCCAGATTCTCTCCACTAATGTCCTCTCCCCTTCCCCAATTTCTCCCCTTCCCTCTGTTCCCTTCTCTGCACCTTTTCTGTGAAACTCTTGAAACCCACTTCACCTTCAGTTGCTCTTTCTCCCTGATCTGATTGCTCCCCATCTCCATATATTTCTGCCTTTCTCCCCGTCCCTGTGCCCAATCCACTTTCCAGGTGACACTGCATTTCTGGTTACACCCCCAGCTTAGCTCAGTGCGGCTTATCCCTCTGCTGTCATCCCCCTCCCCTCCTTTCTGGTCCTGCACTCGGCTCCCCCAGCTCTTCTCCTAACCCCTCTCTCCGTCTGAAATTCCCTGTGCTTTGTTGCCCCCCAGTTCTGCTAACCAGGGGGCCCCTCTCCTTTTAGCACCCCTTCATCTCTGGAGCTCCTCCCTTTCCTCTATATTTCTCCCTTTTCTTTCTCCTCTGGCTGCTTCCCCGAGTTACTCGCTCGGTCTTACCTTCGCTTTCCAAGTCCCTCCCACATCCTGTTTTCCCGCCTCTTTATGGACCCCGCAATGATCTTCCTGTCCTCTCACCTATTCCTCTCATTCTGTCTCCTTCTCGGGACCCCCTCACACCCCCGTTCTGCCGATTTCCTGACCTGCGCTTCACAGTCGCCGCTTACACAAAGCCCCTCCCCGCGTGAGGGGGTGACCTGGTGACACCCCGCGTTGTTCCCTCCTAAATCCCACCCCCCTGAACAGTGTGCTCTTCCTGGGATTCGGGACTCTTATTAAACCAGGACGAGGGGGGGTCTCCAGGCGGCGGAGAGGGTCTGCAGAGCCCCAGGCAGGGAGGAGGCCGGGCTCCCGGGGCCGCGGGGCGAGGCTGGGGGAGGGGCGCCAACGGCTGGACTCCGTCTCCCGAGTCTGTCTCCCAGGACTTCACACCGCGCGGCGGAGCGCTGCCCGGTGGGGGGGTTTTAAGCAGGAAAACAACGCGGCAGGCGGGGTCTAGTGGCCCGAAGGCGGAGAGACCACAGGGGAACGGCCTCAGTTTACCCGGAAACCCCCGCGGACCCCCCACCCGGCAGCGAAGCGGCCTGAGATCGGGACGTCTCCGCAGAACGCCGGACTCACCGCTGTAGGGGGCGCGGGTGCGGGGACTTCAATGTCGGTACTGACCCCCAGGCGTCAGGAGCGCAGGACGGTAGACTGAGACGCTCAGGTTTAAAGCAGAAAGATAAAACATCGCCGAAGCCACCCTCGACTTTCGTCTGCCTCTGCGGATTTCAGGCCTAAAACAAACTTCAGCATCACAATGCCAGAAATGTTAGGATAGGTGCGGGTTGTGGCCCTAGCGCTTCCGCTTCCTGCAATGGGCGGGGCTTGTGTTGTAGCCAGGCCTGGGCGGGGCCGCGAGGGGGAGGGGCAGTGCTCAGGATAATGGGTGGGGCAGTCAAGTAGTGAAGCTTAATTATCAAGAGGCTGACATGTGTGATGTCACATTAGGATGACAATTGGAAATAATACTATAATATATGGTACTGCAGCTTCCATCAAAAATAGTTTGTCAGTTGGCCCAGGGGCTCAGTTGCCTAAGAGCTTGCTCAAGAGTGCGAGCTCTGAACAAAAGCCGTTCCAGTCCTGCCTGAGCTGAGCTGCCACTGAGCTGCCAACAAGTGTCAGGTTTGCTCAGCTTAAAATAATAATAATAATAATTTATCCCTCCTTTGCTCACAAAAACATAGGTTTATGTCTGTCCCAAAAGAAATGTTTAAAAAATCCTACCTACACGGAGCCTAATGGTGCATTGCTCGTTTATTATGAAGTACCCAACGGAGGAGGGATAAAACAGTGTTCGTACAAATAACATGAATCATTCAGCGTTATGAAAAATGATTAACTCTAGTCATTAAAACATGACCCCTAAGATTCAGTCCCATTGACACGGGGAAAAGCAAATTCCAGCACTTCAGTGTGAATCACACACCCCTAAACACTGTTCTTTTGATTAAGCTCTCCTGTCAGATAACTGTTCTCTACTATTTCCAAGGATAAGACAAATTATTCATTACAGTGAGGTGTTCCAAGTACAGGAAATGGCAATGAAATTGGGACAGGTCGAGGAGGCAGGACCATCATGGCCTCAATGATCTGTATGGACTAAGAACTGAGCAACCAATGGAATCAAGTCCAGAAGGAGAAACCAAGGAGGAAAGAGACCGTGTGGGAAAGCCTGCCCCAAGCTCCTCAAGGACATTGAAGGGGCCACATAACAGCACTGTGATCACCATAAATATTCTCCCTGTGTCTCTCTTGGAACAGCAACACCACTGGAGGGTGAAAGGTCAAATGTTACACATGGAAGGACAATGCAGAATTTGGAGAGAAGAAAACTTTCCTTTGAGGGTTTCCAAGAAATTAACTTCTGTTTCCCAAAGATATCTCTCTCTTTTCTTTCTTTCTTTGTTTTTTTTTTGAAGATTTAATTGGCTTTATTAAGTGGTTCATGAATAGGGCAGCATCCCGTCTAGCAACTAGAAGGTTGTTCTGATCTCTCTCTTTTCTGGGGAGAGTTTTGCAAACAGTATGAATGCTGCAGCTTCCCTGTATTTACACCTTTCATTCATTCCCCCGATTTGCTTCTTTTGCTATTTTCGATTCACTCTCCAGAGCCCAGGGTGCTTCCCCTCACTCCACACTGGAGACAATATTTAGACCAGAAACAGAAATTCCTGCATAGGAGAAAAGAGCATTAAGACCTGTAGTTATTCTAGAATCCCCGATCTCTGATCAACTGAGGTATGAGGATATTACAGATGGACTGAGAAAAATATTTTTTTTATTTATTTTTTTAGCTGAGCCATTCTGCCACCTGTTGGCAGCTCAGCAGCAGCTCAGCTTGGGCTGGACTCGAACTGCTGTTGCTCAGAGCTCAAACCTTTGAAGGAGCTCTTAACCAACTGAGCCACTCGGCCGGCGCGAGAAAAATATTTTACTGTCTACTGCTTGTCTACTTCTGTGCATAGGGACCAGTGTCATGCAGATACCAAGCCCTGTTCCAAGAATTCCTGAATCAATAAGCAGGGATAGAAAACAAAGCATTACATATTTTGAGTTTGCTGCAGAGCTTTATATAGACACTTAAGCTCTGGAGCAACCCCAGGGGTCATGAAGTGGATGGATCACCTGAAGAAAGGGCAAGTTCAAAGTCCTGATGCCACATTATGAAGCCTTTTCATGTCCAAGTAAAGAGATCTTCGATCTTACTCACACAAGGCAGGGGGCCTCCAAGAAGCACACAGGGAACATGAAGACACCCAAAGGCAGATACTGACTTCAGGAGAGAAGTCACCCTCACCCAGGGAGCGCAGGTTCCTGTAGTTCTCTGACATCACATCTCTGTACAAGGCCCTCTGAGCTGAGTCCAGGCATTCCCACTCCTCCTGAGAGAATTCTATGACCACATCCTTAAATGTCAACCATTGCTGAAATGAAAACCACATTTCACCATGGGGAATTGTGACAGTTCTTACCCTTATACAGAATGAGAAGAGAAAAAAGATGAAAAATCAATTCAAGTGAAGTGAGTGTTCTGACAGACGTCCATATGATATTGTTGAGCCAGGTAAGTATCCATAATGTTGGCTTATTTTACTTTCCCATAATAACTATTGCTAGCCCATAAATCAGGGAGAGTGTCTCATTTTTGCAGACCATGCATGAAATATACAATTAAAATTCAAAACAGGATTGTTTATACCGAAGTGTCAGATATTATGTTCTACACACTGAGTGATATTCAATGTCTACATGAGCTAGAGCATGAGTAGTGTCTTCAGAGCTGACAAAGTCCACAGAGTCTTTAAAGAAATTCAGACCTTTAAATGTGATGAGGATAACAGTAGTAATAACTAAAAGTTTTGGAACACGTCCTATACGCTAAGCATTAGTCTAAATGCTTTACATAGTTCAACTAGTTATCAACATAATGGCTCACTACAAACAACCCTGTTCCCATCTTATAGAAAAGAAAACATGTCACAGAAACTCGCCACAGGTCAAAATCTACAATTTGACTCAGCAAACAACCAAACTCAGGTGGTGGGATTTAGACTTGAATCTAAACAGAGTCTTAAAAGTACAAAGCATTGTCTAACTGAAAAACCTTGAAACAAGTTCAAGGTTAACGACATTGAACTGCATAAAAGGGCATTACACCTGCATACGCGCAAACGTGTACATAATGCTACTATTTTTACTTTTATTTAAATCACCAACACGATAGTGTAGAAAAAAATTAAGACCGTGGAATATGTTTAAGATATAATTTCAATTGCTAAATAATATAAAACTTACTTATGAAATGATCATCTTTCATAAAAATCATGGACTTGGAAGCCACATGCGGCTCTTTGGGTACGTTTCATCTCAAAAGTTTGCCGACCCCTGGAAGAGCCAAGTCTGTCCCTTACAACAATTTAAAAATTATTTGAGAGCCATAAATATATTTTGACATAATCACCATTATGTGAATAATATCCTGTAAAAATTTTATAAATGAAGCTGTGATAGTTTTATTTTCATTTTCAATTTTACTTCAGAGCCACAATTTGCGAGCCTCAGTTTGCTGACCCCTGGCAGCTCTTCCATCTCAAAAGTTTGCCAACCCCTGACCTATAACAATCATAAATATATATGCATACAGATTAGAGCTACCAAATATATGAGGTAAGTGGTGACAGAAACGCAGGTAGAAACAGATACCAGCACAGTAATCCTATGAGATTTGACTACTTCAGCTTTAGGTATGGATACAACAACCAACACAAGATCAAAAAGGAAACAGAGCACTTGAAAAACACAATAGACCAAAGGAATCTAACAGATATGCTCAACACTCCACCCAACACCAGCAGAAAACACATTCTGGTCAAGCACACAGGGAATGTTCTTGGTGACAGAGCACGATAGCCCCAAACAAATACAAAAAAATTTTTGCAAATTGGAATCATAAAAAGCATCTACTCCAACCACAGTGAAATGAAACGGAACAAACAGCAGAAGAAAAACAGAAAAATCCACAAAATGTAGAAAGTAAACAAGCCATTCTTAAACAACCAGTAGTTAAAAGAAATCGCAAGAGCATTTTTTTTTTAAAGATTTTTATTGGGGAATTGTGGGGATGGGAACAGTGCTGGGGAATTGGGGAAAGGGGAACAGACAAATTGCTGTCCTTTTGTTCTTCAGTCTAGTTGTGGAGGACGTTGCTTCACTGGCCCAAGTTAGCACCATCACTGCGCTCTTCCCGGGCGAGGCAGATTAGTCCCCGGCTTCTGGACGGCTGCTCACTGCAGCTGCTGGCTGCTCACGCTGGCTGCTGGCTACACACGGCAGCCCACGGCAACCCACTGCCACAGGGGCTGCAGCCTTCGCCGTCGCTGGCGACTCATGGCAGCCCAGCTCCAGGTTGAGCTGTTGTTCAGCATCTTAGCTGTGGAGGGCAGTG